GGCTTTTCCCCAGTGTGTGTTTTGTGATGTTGAATGAGATCTGAATGATACTTATAGGCTCGCCCACACTCCTTGCACACATGTGGCTTTTCCCCGCTGTGTGTTCTCAGATGTCTGAGTAGCTCTGACTTAAATATAAAGCCTCGCCCACACTCCTTGCACACACGTGGCTGCTCCTCAGAGTGTCTCCTCTGGTGGACACCAAGCTTGGACTTCTGGCTAAATGCTCGCCCGCACTGCTGGCAGACATATGGCTTTCCCCCCGAGTGGGCCCTCTGGTGTGAGATGAGCTGCAACAGCCAAACAAAGGCTCACCCACACTCCTTGCACACATGTAGATTTTCACCAGTGTGAGTCCTCTGATGGGTCTGGAGATCTGACTTGCAGAGAAAGCCTCACCCACACTCTTGGCACATATATGGCCTGTCAGCAGAGTGTACTCTTTGGTGTTTGATTAGATCTGCATTATCACTAAAGGCTCGCCCACACGCCTGGCACACATGTGGCTTTTCTCTAATGTGGGTTTTCTCATGTTTAAGAAGATCCGACTTCTTAACAAAAGCTTGCCCACATGCCTTGCACACATGTGGCTTTTTTCCAGTGTGGGTTTTCTGGTGTCTAATGAGAACTGACTGCCATTTAAAGGCTCGCCCACACGCCTTGCACACATGTGGCTTTTCTCCAGTGTGTGTTCTGTGGTGTAAGTTGAGCTGGGACCTCAAAAGAAAAGCTCACCCACACTCCTGGCACACATGTGGCTTTTCTGCAGTGTGGGTTTTCTGATGTCTCCTGAGAGCTGACTTCCATGTGAAGGCTCGCCCACATTCCTGGCACACATGATTTTCACCAGTGTGTGTCCTCTGGTGACTACAAAGCTTTGCCTCCTGGCTACATGCTGGACCACACTCTTGGCACCCATGTGGTCTTTGCCCAGAGTGTATCCGTTCATGCTTGATGAGATGTGCCTTCCAAATAAAAGATTGCCCACACTTCTGGCACTCATGTGGCCTTTCCCTAGTGTGTGTCCTCTGGTATTGCATGAGATGGGACTTCTTAATAAATGCTCGCCCACACTCCTGGCACACATGTGGCTTTCCCACAGAGTGTACCATTTGGTGTTGGAATAGATGTGACTTACAAATGAAAGCTCGTCCACACTCCTGGCACACATGGGGCCTCTCCCCAGAGTGTGTCCTCTGGTGTTGGAGGAGATGGGACTTCCAAATAAAAGCTCGTCCACACTCCTGGCACAAGTGTGGCTTTCCCACAGAGTGTACCATTTGGTGTTGGATGAGATGTAAATTCTGCACAAAGGCTTGTCCACACTTGTTGCACACAAATGGCTTCTCAAGAAAGTGGGTCCTCTGATGTCTGGTGAGATATGACTTGGAGCTCAACCCTCGCCCATACTCACTGCACCCATGGGGCTGCTCCGGGAGGAAGGATCTTTGGTGTGTGCTGACATTTGACTCATGGGCACAGTCCGGTGTCTCTCTATGGTTGGCTGCTCCAAACCCTGAGAATTCCAATTCCTTCGAGATTCTCTCTGTTCGCATAGACGAAACTCTTGGGGATGAGGTGAGCTCCAGACCCACCCCTGGGTGGTCCTCTCTAGGACTCGCTGACTGTCTCTGGGTTGGGCTTGAAGATTTCCTTGAAGTCTCTCTGCCCGCTGTCCTCACACACGAAGCTTTACAGGTGATGTCTCTCTCCTGACTCGCAGTGTTCTCGTTTGAGTAGCTCTGACCCAAATCCTGCTGCTCTGGTTGCTTCTGAGGCCCTGGGCTGGAACTCTCGAGATGGAAGTGATGTTCCGCACACAAGCCCTGTGACACCTGAAGCAGATGTTGGCTGAGGGCTTGCTGACAAGGGATATGGAACAGGCAGGAGGAACAGGACGTGTTTTCTTGCTGTGTTTCTGCTGCGGAGAGAAAGGTTTTCATGAGAACAGCCACGAGTAGGCCCTCCTGGTCTGTCCACCTTCCCTTATCAAACATAACCTCTGACCGAGGGAGTCCCTGGGTAAGACAAATAGACAATGGGAAAATGACTAGCTGTAAGGTTACTGGTTCTGAAAAGAGGCCTAGTCCTCTGATGTCAACAGGACACCGCTTAGGACACTCCATGGAGCGGGCCTTGGCTGTGTATGTGTGCTCATCCTGGGTCAGAATTCACCTGACAGCAAGTAGCAATGATCCTAGGCCACCCTGGAAATTAACCTACAGACCGACAACTTGTTTCTCAACAATGCTTTGATTCTCCAATCTCATCAAGTATACTTTCTCTTGAAATCTCCAAGCGCCTGGTGACACGTGTGTTGGCTCAGTCGTGGGTTGGCTCACTCAACGACTGGCACTTGAAAGCCACCAGGTGCACCAAGGTAGAAAGGTGTGGTGGTCTGCATTAGCAAAGAATGAGAGCCTGGAGACTATGGGGGGTAACAATAAAACAGGCAAATGACATGACTCAGTGTCTTGACCTAGTGCTAGTTGACCTTGGATACCCCCCCCCCCCAAATCAAGGTGCAATCTATTATTCAGGGGTTTCAGAAGAGGGTTTGCCACGTTTTAAGGAGGGTTGGGCTATCGAATCGGTTGCTCTTATTTATGGATAACTTTCAGGCACAGTGAGCAGCCAGAGGCAGGAATAATTCATCTTTTATGGTAACGCCTTTATGAGACTGTGTTTATTCATGAGAATGTGTATTAAGCCTTATTTGCAGTTCATAATCTTGAAGACTTCCCCCACTGGACTCGGCATGTCAGAACTGTAATTATGAGCATGAAGGATGTATCTGCACTACATTCTCATCCAGCCCCTCAGTGTACCACAACCAGAGCATCTCCTATGGGGGTCACTTCACCTCAGTGCTCGCTCACACTTTCACACATTAATGACTTTTCCCCAGTGTCTTCTCTGATGTCCGATAGGTACCTTCCAAATGAAGTCTGGCCCACACGACTTTCCCCAAGTCTCTTCTGATGACTGATGAGGTTACATCTAAGGAAGGCTTGCCCACACAACTTGTCCACATCTGGCTTTTCCCTAGTGTGTTTTCTAGTGTATAAGCCGTGACATCAAAAGCAAGGCGTGTCCACATACCTGGCACACATGTGGCTTCTCTCCAGAGTGTCTCCTCCGGTGTACCTGAAGGTTTATATTTCGGCTAAATGCTAGCCCACGCCGTTTGCATACATAAGACTTCCCACCTGTGTGTGTGTCTTCTGGTGTAAAAGGAGTGCTGACTTCCAGCGAAAGGTTCGCCCACACTCTTGGCAAATATATGGCTTTTCACTAGAGTGTATTCTCTGGTGTACAATTAGATTTGTGTTCCGGGTAAAGGCTCGCCCACATTCTTTGCACACATGTGGCTTTTCCCCAGTGTGTGTTTTGTGATGTTGAATGAGATCTGAATGATACTTATAGGCTCGCCCACACTCCTTGCACACATG